CCCCCCCCAAACCAACTTTCTGTTTAACTCTCTTTTTCCTTTTCCTAACTTCTTGACCTTAACAAAAGTACTTTCTCTTGTTGCAGGTCCATGGAAATCTGCAGTTAGCTGAACTGACAGCTGTGCTTTTGGAATGTTATTCGATTAAGGTACTTCCATGGTACGTACGCGGATCTTAATTTATCTTGTTTATTAGATTTCCATTCTATTCCATCTCTGTTCTGGATATTTCTCCCTACTGCATTCTCTATTGTGATGCATCCTCATATGGATGGCCAGTAGTCTCTGTTGATTTTTCTTATGTGTGATATTTGATGCAACTCAGTTTTTTGCTGGTTCACTAACTTCTGCTTTGAAAAAGGAAGCCACACAGTGTCATTTCCTGCTTATGGTGAAGCAAAAAATGTAATTTCGCTTGTTTTTTTCACTTATGCTCCCATAAACGAGAATATTAAGAAGGAACTAAGAAATAAAAGAGGAAAGGAAGGAAGGGCAAAGAACAAAGGGAAAAAGGGAGATCTAAAAAGTATACAGTATTTAGTTGTTCTTTTCTGACCTTTATTTCTGTTGTCACTGTTTCCTGTAGCATGGAAATGGTTAAGTCTCACATCCTAACAGAACAATCTGCCATATGATCTATTTGGCAGGTGGAGTCGGCCTATGTAGGCTGGAAGATGATCGGATTTTTTAGCTAGCAGTTGTATTTAAATGAGTTAAATAACTTAACAGTCCTACTTATCAAAGAATAACTGAACATTCCCAATATTTTCAATGTTTTTTTACCAAAGATCTGACCTGTAGTTTTTGGTTGCCTCTCAGGTTCCATTGCAATGGAGGTGCAGACGAAGTCTCTTTGAATCTTGCAGTTAATATTTTTGCTAAAATGGAAAATATCACATCTTTGAGCCTAGGAGTAAAGGGAAATGTAAGCATAGCATATTTTCTTTTCCTCCTCTTCACACGTCTTGTTCTATTTGAAGAAATATTTGATTTCCATCTTATTTACCCACAAGTTCCACTAGAAATGTTAACATACTATACTTACCTCAGGAGTTTCTGGACGCAACAATGGCTGCAATGAAGCAAGCTGTGGCAGGCTGTTCAGTGGAAAGCCAGGTAAAGGTTCTTCGGAAAGCTCTTGATGTGATGGCAACATGCTCCTTATTCCTATCCAAGGATTTGATTCTAGGAACCAATCGCTTTAACAAGAAAAGTCAACTTTGTCAGACTTTTGATGGTTTGTCTTGTCGAGACGAATGGATTACTTCACTCTTCGCATCAGTTGTAATTGCGTTGCATCCTCAAACTCGAATACCAAATATAAGACTGTTATTACAGTTGTTGACAACGACTCTCCTTGAAGGTCATTTACCGTCAGCTCAGGCCCTGGGGTCTTTGGTTAACAAACTTCCTGTAAATATATCAGAAGACTGTAGTCTCGAAGAAGTTATTGATATGTTATTCAAGAATGAGATGTGGTGCAACATTATTATTGGGAAAGAGGGCAGTGATGGTGGTGCTGTTAATATGGGTAACCCGAGAATAAGCAGTATGAATAGTCATGCTGTTATTGGATTAGCATGGATAGGGAAAGGTTTGCTTATGCGAGGTCATGAGAAGCTAAAAGATGTGACTATGACTTTCTTGAGTTACTTAGTTTCAAGTGGACATAACGGAAATTTGCTGCCTTTCAAGGATCAAATGAAAGATGGCGCAGAGCATGAAGTGCTTTGTCTCAGAAAATCAGCTGCAGATGCATTTCATATTCTTATGAGCGACTCTGATGCTTGTTTGAACAGGAATTATCATGCAATCATTCGCCCACTCTACAAGCAACGGTTTTTCAACATTATGTTGCCTATGTTCTTATCTGCAATAGTAAAATGTGACTCATCCACTACACGGTACGTACCAATATAGTTGATTTTATTTGTTTAATTTTTTTTATTGGAGCAACGGTAAATTTGTCTCCGTGTGACTTATAGGTCACGGATTTGAGCCATGGAATCAGCCACTAACGCTTACCCTAGGCTGCCTACGTGGCCGGGATGCTTCATGCACCGGGCTTCCCTTTTTTAAAATTTTTGTATATCCCGCGCTTCATACTCTCATTTTGTATGTGGTTGATGATGGAGACTGTAACCTTCTGGTTCATGGTTTGTTGAAGAAAGTCAAGAAACATTTAGAAGCCTAAGAACGCCAATAGATGTTAAGAAGCTTTTGTGGTCTTTGTATTAAGAAAGTTTATTGAGTAATTTTTATTAGCTTGCTTAAAGAAGTCATTTTTATTTAATTTCAATAACTCTGAAGACTATCTGTGTGCGCCATGAGGTGCTAGTTATCAGTTAATAGCATATGTTCTTTCTAAAACAAAGTTAATAGTGTATGTTCTGAAGCAGCTTATCAAAGGTGGAAAGGGGTATGTGGTTCTAGCATAATTTGGGGGAGGGGGTACTTTATCGGAAAAAAAGAAAAATTGGGGGAGGGGGTTTTCTTCTCATTTATTAAATTCCAACTCATCTGAAAAAAAAAAAAACAGAATCAACATTCAAGCTTGCCCATCTTGTATGTCCCAATTTGTCACCTATGTTTGTGCGATCTTCATGTGCCTAAATACTTGTGTTCTACTCGTATATGGGTTGTTTCATGTGCTTTCTGTAGATTCTCTATTTTTTTGGCATACCCTTGTATGCGGGAGTTGTCCCAATTATTAAATTAAATTATACTTTACTTGATATAAAAAGTATGGGTTGTTTCATGTGGATTTTCGAAGTGCACTAAAGCCTTGTTAAATGTTGAACATATCCATGTCAGAGCACACATGAATCCCCGTAAAATATGTTTTCCAAAGCTCTGTTGCATTCACTAAAATAAAACTAGTAACTTCTTTTTTTTTTTTGAAGTTTCAGTAGCTACATCATTTTTCCTGATTAAAGATTGAATAAGAGGACTTCTATCTTAAAAGAGCTCACTGTAATGAGTTGAATTAAACTTCTGTTGATCTGATCAAATTTTAAGATGGCTTGCCTTAAGTTAATCCTCCCGTGATTTCAGGTGTTTTCTCTATCAAGCTTTCGCACACCTGATATCAGAAACTCCTCTTGCTGCTATTGTTGGTGATGCCAAAAAGGTGAGTGAGTAGCAATGACCAACTATTTGTACTCATATTGTTGATGGTCGGGTCCAAGGTTAATTGCTTATGATATTTATCTTTGTATGCAGGTCCTTCCTGTACTTTTAGATTGCTTTCTTATGTTAAGCAAGGATGTCTCTCATAAGGAGATAATTTACAGTGTCATAATAGTTCTCTCCGGAATAATAACAGATAAAAATGGTAAGACTGTTTGCTTATCTCTGTGAGAGTTTCTTTTAGCTCTGAAAAGTTTATCAGATCGGCTATCATAATTTGCTTATGGACCATCATCCGCTAAGGATTTGCATATTAATTGTACCTTGCATATTTGCACATGTTCATCTTCAAGGTTGCGTGAAGAAGTTAATAGACATAGGCAATTGGCTTTCAGAAAATTTGCTTGAATAATCTAGAAAGGCTTCATTAGCTGCCAATTTTATACTTACGGAAGATTCTTTTTTTGTGTGCGCTAATGACCAATTGTAAGTGGCATATTTGAATATTTCCCGGGAACCTCATATGAGTTTCCTTTCAGAGATCTGGAGAACCCCTAGTCTAAGCTTTCTAAATTGCGAGCGAAAAGCTCTTTACTAAATCTTAACAAATTAAACCTGTCTTTCTCCAACTTGAGGTTGATCAGGTTATTGTTTCATGCTTTGATGTTAAATTTGGGATTCAATGGTTTCTTCATTCATTTTCCGACTTCTTTTTTTGCTGATGCAGGACAAGAAGCTATTGTAGAAAATGCGCCCACAGTTATCTGCCGACTTACTGAGCTCACATCCTATCCCCATATGATGGTAAAAGTTTCTTTCTAGTTTGGGATTTTGTGATGTGGTAAAATAATTTTATTGAGATGGCAGGAAATAACTGTCATATAGCAGTATGCCAAAAAGTAGAGAACCTAGAAGTTTGATTCTCTTCCAATCTTCCATATAAATATAAAACTCGTGGGTGCACCAAAAAGAAATAAGGAACAAGCGGCTATTCCTCAAATGTACAAAATTACTCGTCCCTGCAAAATATTTCCTATTTCTCTCTTTCAGCACAATGCATATTAGTGCTAGTGGAACAACAATTTACGCCCTTCATCTTGTCCTCCATCTTCTAAAAGTCCAGCTGAAGCGTGCTTGCATCACAGTGCTTGGTATCACTCATTGTAATCTAAACCATCTAAAGTTTTCCCACAAGTTAGACACTACCTGACAATGTAAAGGAAATGTGTCCGCATCTTTGTCCGGATTTTTGCAGATAAACTACCAACTGATATATGGAATTCCACTCTTTCACAAGTTGTCAGCTCTCAGAATCGCTCCACTCGTTGCTAACCAAGTGAAGAAACTCCCCATCGTGGTGACCTAGGAATCAAATAGATAGATGTGAAAAGCCTGATTTCTCTTTGATCAAGAGCCTGTTATAATAGGACTTTAATGAAAATAATCCACTACTCTCCTTCACTTCCGACTATAGGCTGGGACCTTTCTTATATTTGAAGTTTCTTAAATTATCAGGTGATTCGAGAGACTGCAATTCAGTGCCTTGCTGCCATGTCAGAGTTGCCGTATGCAAGGATATACCCCATGAGAACACAGGTTGGTTTTGTAGTGTGAGCAATCAGAATATCCACCAACATTTTATCAGAAGATCCTGAAACACCAACTAAATGCTTAACAATGGACGCGGCTTATTTATCAGGAGTGTAAGAGGTTCTTCTTGTCTTTCTCATGAAGTCTGGATTTTCATAATGTGTCTTTTCATATGTAGGTGTTGCAAGCATTATCCAAAGCTCTTGATGATACAAAGAGGGTCGTTCGTCAAGAGGCAGTGAAATGTCGGCAAGCTTGGTAAGACATTATAGATCCATTGTGTCTTTACTTTAGTTATACATATTTACCGAGTTGAACTCATTTACATTTTTTGGGCCTTTTTTAATTCTTAGGGCTTCAATTGCATCAAGGAGTTTGCACTTCTGAAAGCATGCAGAAGACTTCCTTGAAAACCCGGTTGGGTGAGATCTTTATCCCTTTTGTCATCGATATTCGTCAACACATCAATGTAAAACTACTGTGCACATATTATTTCATAAATTTTCCATGTGGGAAATTCAATAAATCAAAGATTGAGATTGAGCGTGATCTTCTATACAGTCATTACCTTCGTAATCTACATCCTCCTACCAGTAGTTTGCTGTATGTGCACTACCATGCTGGCACTCTCACCTCTTCACCTCGACAGTCCAGCTTTTGAACAGGTTCCATATTGAGTTTTGCTTACCATGCCTGGCTGTTATGTTGACAGGATCGTATAGCCAAGCAGGCTTCAGACTACATTCATGTGTTGCATCCTTGCAGATGGTACACCCTCTTGCTTCTGCTTGTACAGCAGCTTCTTGCTTCTGCTTGTATAGCAGCTTACTTATAGGTCCACAGTCTTGATGTAATAACTTCGGGGGGGGGGGGGGGGGGTTAAGTTTCAGAGTGGTTTTCAAGGACGAAGTGTACTCTGGAGGGGGTGTGGCAGAGGGGAAGGCTTGGGCGTTTGGCAGCTCCTGTTCTATCAATCGCAATGTACAATGATCCAACATAGCAAGGAGCAGCAGTCTTATCTCCAGTGAGAATGATTATCAGGTGATGCATCGATGCGACAATGGTGTCCCACCTCCCTTCAGTTGGATGCAGAGAGATCAAACTGTAAATTAAAGTTGTACTGACTTCTGCAAAGTTTGGAGCTTGTGGTTAGTGTGAATTTCATACTAGGGACAATTGTCTGAACAAAGATAGTAGTATTCATTCAATGCAATTTTCCTTCATAAATTGTCTACTTTGTGGTGTTATCAACTTATCATCCATTGATTTGGTGCTCATGGTGGCACCTCCTTCAGCTTCCCTTTTCAAGAACAAAATTTGCAAAATTAATTTCTGCCAGGAATATGGTTGTGGGATCTTTCATTAGCTTTAAGTTCTCGACAAGAGCAATCTGGATATATTCTGGATGTTGTATAATGATGTTCGTTCAAACCTGCACTTATCACCCCTAAGACCTTTCTTCTGCAACCAACCTTCTGGACAATTAAATGCAGAATGCAACACCATCGAACGTCTTGATGTTCATCTTTATATTGCAGTCTCGTCCAACTTTTGTACCAAACTATGATTTGTGTTATTAACTTCAAACAGTAACATGTTGGACAGAGAGAAAATATGAGTACTAGGTTTCAGCTACCATAAAGAGTCTTTCTCCGTAACAGAAATTAGAAATAACAATATTTACCTCGACCGTTTAATCACTTATCCCTAAACAACCATTACAGCACAAATGAGAATTAGCGAGCAACTTCAATGTGTACTTTCCTGTGATTTCCAGTTTTGCGAGAAGCACAAAGGGTCAGCCTGAAGCACAAGACATATCTCCTCTTTAACCACAATACATCTCCTAGCTCATTTCTAAACACTGCCACAACATGCAAAAGAGCAGGAAGAATTTTTTTGAAAAAGCTGACACCGAAAATTAAACCACAAGTCGCTACACCTAATGCAACATCTGTGCAGAGGGTATAAGACTGGAGGAAAGGGAACAAGAATAACTGTAGGGCCAAACAATCATTGGAGCACTGGTAAAACATTACTTGAAAGTTCAATCTTTTCAAAGAACAAAATTCCTATATGGTACAGAGCATTGTTTATTTGTGCAACTTCTCCCATATATCTACTCTCATGTTTTTTTTCCTGTTCTCTAATTCTTTGCTGTAAATTATCCGATCAGCTGAAATGAATGTGAACTAATCAGTCAGACATATCATACTCGGCTCCACTAGATTGATCCTGATCACCATCATGCATATCGTTCTGTTGTTCACCAACAGCATCTTCGTCATTAGTTCTTGCTCTCCTTGAACTTGAGACACCCCCCTTCGAAGCTGTTGCATAACCCTGCAAGGATCCACCGATGTCATAATCAGTTGCAAAAGGAAAGGTCATGTAGAAAGAAAAAACTGAAGGAAGAGTAGGCTTATGGCTTCATTACCCCTTCTTCTTTCAGTTCAATGGCAGCTACTGTTTTTCTCCTCCTTACTGTAACTCTTGAAGGTACTGGAAAATGTTCAACTTCATCATTTGATTTTCCCTCTCTAGCTCTCTTCTTTCTCAAAACAAGCTTCGTTGGAAGAGGCTGCATCCACGTTGTAGTCAAGTTCCATTGTTAAACCACATAAAGTTTACAAGTTAAAACCCAGTTTTTTACCATGTAATGGGCCTCCGTTTCACCAAAGGCCACAAGGTATGTAGTAGGATCATCTGCATCATCGCCTCTTACCTGCCAATGGGCAAATGCGAGCAATATCAATAATATAAAAATGTAACTAGGTTGAGTTCAGCACTAAGAAAAGGTACATACATCCCAGTGATACTCCCGAACCCAACTGTATGAAATATCCTCGTTTTCATCATACATATCCTTCGTTAGCTGTCAAAATCAACGAAAAGCAACAGAATATATTAAATGAGATTTATGCTCAATAACTTTTCCATTTTAAACAGATGTAATTTCACCTCATTTGGTGCAGGGACCATATATGCCAGAAATTTATCAGGTTTATCTGCGTCCGAGCTTGTAGCCACGAAGCTTTTCATAATGGCCTGCAAGATGTATTGCAAATCATAATTCATGTTCGTCAAGATTGCATTCAAACATCATAGTGTCATGGGGGTCCGAGGGAAAATAGAAGATTGTGCTGACAGAGACACATTATAATCAACACTCTGCCAAAGGCCTTCAAACTTTTCCAACCCAATATAAGTTTGGACTGAACATTCTCGCTTTGGTCAATTGATGTTGGGTAAGGAGCTAATAGCAAAATGATTAGACATAAGTTTGGAGAAGATGAATATATGGGGTCTCAATTTCATATGAAAAAACTAACTTTGCCAGTCTTGCTTTCACTTAGCAATTGCTCATCCACATTTACTGCCCAAAGGAGTCTTTACTTTACCTTACTAACCTGGAGAAAGCACTACAAACTTGGAGAAAGGCATCTAATTAATTTCACCTGTGATTCATATGCATCGCGAACAGTTTTATCCAACTTGTTGTAGGTCTCTGAGTCAGCAGTTGGAGCACTATCGAAATTCGCGAGTACAAACGGGTCTTGGTACCTGGAAAAGTAGCAATATCAGTTCATGTTATCAATATCACCAAGATATTGCCATGATCCAATGACTCAATGAGTTTTATAGGAAAAAGGGAAAAAGTTTTGGCAGGCAATTATCACTTTAAATCTTTTGCATATTGGCAAATACATCCAGCTTCTGCTGTTTTCTTTTGACAAACAAATGTTATTTTATTGACAAAAATGATAGCAGAAGAATTCAAGTATACGCGATGCGTAAGGAAAGATAGCAATCTGGTGATCTCCTGTAAAAATGCCATCCAATTATCCATACAGGTGGGATGTCTTAGGTACTCCAAGAATATAAGAAAGGCATACCAGACTCATTTGCCTACCTACAGTAATTGTACAACAATTTTTCAGGAATTTTATGGGCTGCATCTATAAATGCCATAAATTGTAGAAAAATAGCAGAACGAGAGAAAATGAAGGATATGGTGACAAATAGAGAAGAGCTCCACCGCAGAAGTGAGTACAATAAATAGCAAGCGCCAAACTCGCACATATCAAACATACAAAAGCCCAAAACTTAAAAGTCCCAAAGTTCCGTATAACCTTAATATTTAATAGCATTTCTTCTCGCTCAAGTTTCCCTTAACCTTCAATTACCTAGTACCGCCAATTACCATTACCTACTCTGGTTGTTGCTCAACAAAGCAAACAAACGACTACGTTTTTTGATAAAGAGCAAACAAGCGAGTACTTACTACACAAAGGTGAGAGGGGACAAAAGAGGTTTACATAAAAACGGAGTATGTGCTTTCAGACAACAAACACAGAGAGATCAAACATAAGATAATATAAAAGCTCATCATTCTGAGAAGTTTACCCACCAGACAGTGAGCAGACCTCAGTTAGTGAACTAAGCAATAATCTACATATGTGCCAGTATTGCTGCTACCAAACAACGATTAGGAGGAAGCATAAAGAACTTTGAAGAAATAATTAGCTCAAGGCACTAAGGCATTAAAGCACCACGCATAGAGGGGTTGCACAAATTTTGCAATAAAAGAGGAGAATGTAGTTCTCATAAAAAGTATAGCTTTTTATTATTCCACTTAACATGAAATCCCCTTCCAACTCACAAAATACAGTCCAACTATGGTGAGCTTTTTTTGCACTGAGAAATGAGATAAACTTTTCTCCATCCGGATAATCAAATGGAAAAAAAGACTGAAAGCTACAATTATCACAAGAAGATAAATAAAAAATAAAAGGAGAAACTAGGAAATGTGTGAGCCCTTTATGCATGCATGTTAAAAGACAACGCCACATTCTTATGGATGAAGTGAAAGTACCTCATTCTTTGAGGGAGACTGCACCAGTTATACTGAAACATAATCTTCTTAAATCCTTTTTTTTTTATTGATAAGGTAAAGTTTTAATCTTCTTAAATCCTTCATCCCTCTTCTTCAACATTCAGGCCAACATATAGATATTTAACATGAGAAAGGAAGAAAAGAGAGGAAGACTTACCGATCAAAGTCAGGAAAAAGTGGCTGGACTTTGACAGGCTGCAATTTGCGATTGGTCGCATGAACGGGCCGTGACTTGCATGCCTCAAAAGAAGCCTCGATCTCCTGGAGTTGTCTATCTCTGAAAACAGGGTTTGAGGAATACAATATTCAGGCCTCAACTATGTCTCACTATCTTAGACATGGATAGCATGGACACTGAAAGTAGAAGTAACCTATTGTTAAGATTCTCCAAGATGTTGCGGCCACCTCTATTTTCTCGCAACTCTTTAGCTTGCTTTTCAGTCAGAGACTGCAAATGGCATAAACAATTAATTAAATAAGGTTTTTCTTCTCTTTGAAGAAGAATATTCCTCTAAAACGCTATTATCAGCAGGAACCTGTTTTGCTGACTCCGTGCTAAGAGGAGAGATGTATTGTGTTTTGACCAGCCAAGAAACACCTTTGTCTGTTGGCCTTTCTTTCTTTTTTATACCATCTTTCTTGATGGGGGTTATAGGATTGTCGTCACGCAACAATTCTTCATCTTCTGGGGCAAGTGGTAGTCTTTCACCCTTTGGAGGACTAAGCAAGCCAGCAACAAGGTCAAAATAATAGATAAATTTAATTAATATGTGCTGCATGAAGAAAAGGAGAGAGAGCACGTAACATACTTGTATACGCTGAGATCAAGAAGGTCAAGAGGTATTCCAAGGTCTGGTTCAACATATAGTTCAGGCTTGTGCATTTTCTCCAGTGAGGTAATTGAGTATTTCGTAAATCTGCACACTCAAATGATTTGCCCTTACAAAAAAATGACAAGTGTAGTAGTACAGTGATGACAATCAACTACTAAACCATGTCCATTCTCACACACAATAGAGATAGCCTGACAACTTGTGGATCAGACTAACCAGAGGTGATGGTTCGGGAAAGAAGATTGAGTTATAACTCTGTTAACCTCTATAATAGCGGACACTCTAGATGGGACAATTCATCTACATATAAAGTGCATGCCTTGTTTAGTTTGTTCTATCTCTGTTAGAACATGCATTGGTGGTTGAATTGATTACCATAAATACAAGTTTTTTTTTATACGTAAGATAAAATTATCATAAATACAAGAGAGAGGACCAGCACAACGAAAAGCAGGATCACATACCGATCTTTGTCTCTAGGTATTTGCAAAAGCTTTGGTTGTGCTACTGGATCTGGTAATTCATTTCTGAATCTGCAGAGTACACACAAATTAAGGAACGTTCAACACTCTCTAATATGTAAGACGTGTTTTTCCCAAGTGATAAGCATACCATGTAGTCTTTTCACAAATAATCTTGACACGGAAGGGAATAACTTCAAAGAAACGACATAATAGTATAAGTGATTCAGCAAATAGCTAAATACGCCCACCATCTAAATTATGATGCTCATCAAGTTTATCACCAACCTACCCTATGAAACGGCCATCTTGCAAAGGCAAATCAGTTATTTGAACTTTATGCGCCGAGTTTGGGATTCTACCACAGTACTGGGTTCAGAATCTATTATTCGCACTTATTTAATGGATTTTTAAGCACATATACAGGGTTTGAGTCAAAGCAATAGAGTTTGAACCCATAATATGTGCTCTGCATCCGCCCCTGATATCACGTGTAAATTTCACCCTTACCATGACGAGATTGAAATGTATTATGATCAAACAGTCAGTTGGGCTGGAAAATAAATCAAGAATTAATGGCTTACTTTAACTTGCAAAGAAATGTGGTCGGCTTCTTCAAACGGTTCTCAGTCCTCTCACTACTAAGCAAAGGGGTGGTCCTTCTATCAGCCATATGTGATGCACTAATAGAACCATGACCTTTCATCCCAGAGGCTAACATTTGGGTTTTCTGCAGAACCCTATTCTGTGATTCCTTTAGTTGCTGCTGCCTATGCTTTTCTTCATGCCTTTGCTTTTCTAATTCCCTCTTCTTCCTAATCCTCCTCTCTTCTTCAGTCTCAACCCGAGCATTGGCTGCTTTCTTCACAGGCAATGGAGGCACAGAACGCCCTCCTGGCTGTTTAGACCGACCAGCAGCCTGATGATTACCATGTCCCGGTTCACTCCAACCAGAGTCTCGCCTTTTCTCGCCCCCACTGGGCCTACTTGATGAAGGAGGTGGCGGAGGGGATGGGGGCTGAGAAGGTGGAGGAGGAGGAGGAATTGAAGAACTTGGAGGAGGAGAGGAAGGAGGTGGGGGCTGGTTTTGGGTATACTGGGAGTAATACAGTGGAGGAGGAGGTGGCGGAGGCTGTGCTGAAGGTGGTGGCGGTGGAGGTGGATACGAAGACGGAGGAGGAGGAGGAACGTAAGCAGGGTGCTGATAATTTTGCTGCTGCTGAGTATAGGAGGAGGAAGATCCACCGTAGCCCCAATTCTGAGAGAACTGAGACGGCGGTGGCGGTGGAGGAGGGTTCTGATTCTGCGGTGGCGGTGGCGGAGGAACGAAACTCGACTGAGACGGTGGTGGGAATGGCCTATACGAAGCCATGGTACACACACTTGTGGTGGACCCTACACGTCACTCAACGGCAAAACAGAACTCTGAAATCTGAATACAAACTAAAACCCTAGAACCACCAAATCAATCTACAAATCACAATCCTCTCTGACTAAAAACAATCAAAAGAACCCTAAAGCAAACAAATTCCAACTGAAAAGATTTCTGATTTCACCTTTCAACAAACGGGACAAAACTGACCGAAAAATCAAATAAAAGATCTATCTTTCTCTCTCGCTCAAACAAAACAAAAGATTGAGATAACAATGAGGACTGAATTTGAACAAAAAAAAAAAGGGAATGAGAAATTCAAGAACAATTTTTACTCAAAACAGAACAGCTTTCAGAAAAAAGCAACTAGAAACATGAAATTTGAGCTTCAAAAATTGAAACCAAAAGGGAAAAAAGGAATTGGTGACATTGACAAAGGAGAGGATTTTTCCTAGTTTAGTACGGGGAAGCAGAGTGAGCAGACAAATGATTGTGTTTTAGCTGAGTTTTGCCAGTTATGTAAGCATCAGGGATCCCACGCTTTATATAGTCGTCGCTTTATGTTTTTTTTACAACTCTGGAAATTTTTCCCCAAAAATGACTCCTTTCTCCTTACAGTCATCCCTTTGACCAAATATTTTGACAAAAATAAACAATACAATTTCCTCCAAATGAAGATTATTGTTATGTATTTTTATTCTTTTTTTTTATTTAATCGTCAAGTAAAAGAGTTTTTCTTTGTTCTTATCAACGAGATCAATCGATGTGTTTCTAAATAAGTCATTTCTCGAAAGAGATCGAGTAGTTCCGATCTCATTTATAGTTGACTTGTGTGCTATGACTAATAACGGTGAATCTTACCTAGTATCGAAATTAGATTTGATATCTTTTTGATTTCTGAAAAGAGTTTTAATGGCGATCGGACTTTCCTTCTCTGAAAGTCTAATGGTCGGATGAATTTTAATTTCATAGAATCAAGCATTAACACAATAAGTGTTCCTCTTTATGTTATCTTTGTTCTCGTTCCCATCTTCTGCGTTATTTGACGTGAAGGAGGGATGGAGAATACTACTCTATCAATAATAAGAAATCGGTATCGGAAACTTACATTAGGCGGGGACATGACTCCATTTCAGCTTTTGAAGATGCAAGTTTGCTCGAGAACTGGAGAAATAGTGTAGAAGACGCTGCTCGAAATGATTTTAAGAGTTTATGTGCATTGTCGTCTTATATAGTATTAGACCATAAATATTCTATTTTTTTCTCTAATCTTTAAGTATTTATAAATTAAATTATTAACTCATCAATAAGATTACTCTAATTTTGAATTTCCAAAATAAGAGATTTTACTTTTTATTTATAACCTTTTTTTCAAAATAAAAGAACATGAAATTGGGATATTCTTTGACATTTATCTATTACAATTGTTCCCTTGCAATGAATTACATGTTATTTATATGCATACTTTAATTTTTCTGTGTTATAACATAAAAAAGTGACTAGGGGTGACATCCTCCCTCGTATAGTCTTTGCATTTCATAACTCTTCTTATTTTCCACAGAGGTATATTTTATTTCTTTATAATTTGGTAGAACCGAAAAAATTTCAATGCAAGTTTATTGCTGTGATACTTTTTAAATATTTTTATTTTATTTTATTTTATTTATTGAAATTGAAAACTCTACCTGCATTGTAATTGATGACTCATCTTACGTAATTTGTGATGGATTCCACTTGGATTTCAGGATTTAGTTAGATAGCATTTGAATTTTTAAAGTGTAAACACATTAATTGTTTTGCATAAAAAGGAATAATATCATAAAGCTCCCTCTATATTTGCATTCGTAGCACTTACAATCGTTTACGTTAAAACAAAAAGCTATAACAGAAACATAAAATGTGGCTTTTGTTAACAGTAAATTATTACAAGTGTTCCATTGCAAATTTGCAATGAGTTACGTGCTAATTTGCATGTAGATTTGTTTTTTTTGTGTGTAATAATGACACATAAATAAAACGTGAATGCGGTTGAATCCTTCCACTTCTCTTCTTTGTCTTGTCGTAGTTACTCTTGATTTTCTCTCTTCCACTAGAGTGGGTATATTTCATTACTTTTACTACTTCATAAATAAATAATATATATATATATATATATTATATATATATATATATTATATATATATATATATATATATATGATAATTTGGTAAAATGGAAAAATTGTTCTATGCGAATATAATGCAGTGATTTTTCCTCTCGTTTTTTGTGTAGTTGAAGACTCTACTTATGCATTTGATTTACTCCATCCATCCAATTTTAATTGTCACTTTAGTTATTAAAAAAATATCAAAATAATTGTTACTTTAGGTGTTCAAGATTAAATTTATTAATTATTTTCAACTATACCCTCAATATTAGAGAAGCAATAGTTATTTTTAATACAACTCAATTCTGAAAAATATTTAATAGGAGTAATTTAGTGAAATATATCTTGTAATTATTGTTTTTTTTTTCAATGGATACGAAAAGAGCGAAGTTAAACGGGACGGAAGGAGTAAATAGTAATTAATAATGAATTCCTTAGATTTCATGTATTTTAGTTGGATTTCTTTGGATTTTTAAAATGGCACCACTTTAATTGTTACAGTTGAATAAGTAATTAGTGCATAAACATCCCTCCATGTTTGTATACATATCACTTACCTCTCATGTAGTTTGAGATACTACACTTGCTCCCCTTAATTTGATTTTTTTTTCAACAAAATTATTTATAAGCAAAAATATTTTATATATTACAGGTTTACCCTTCTGTAATTTAGACTATTTTGTAGTTTTTCTCATTTTCTTTCTTCTATGAGAGAGTACATTGATTTCTTTTCCTTTTTTTTCACCCTTTTTTATAATGCGTATCAGATAAATTGGTTAAATAAAAAAACGTTTATGTGGGATATTGCAGTAATTTTTTTTCGTAATTGACAATCCTACTTGTACACTAATGACCAAGATTACGGAGTTATTAACATTGGATTGCACTTGGATTTCATGATCTCAAATTTATGACTCCTTTAATTTAATAATATTGCATTTGGATTTTAAAAATCTCAGCACTTTGACTCCTAAAAGTTGACTAAATATATAATTTTTAGACTGTTTTCACTTGAATTTTTGTATTTTAAATATAGCAGTGTGACGACCCGGCCGGTCGTCTCATGAGTTACCGCTCCGTTTTCCCCATTTCTGCTTCTTTATGCTTTGTTATCCCTGTTTTATGGTCGGGTTGGTTGGATTGAATCCGGAATGGTTTTGGTGAAGTTTGAGACACTTAGGCCTCATTTGTTTGCACTTAATGGAGGTCTGAATTTTAATCATTCAGATCTCAGACATTAAATGCGTTTGTTTTTAAAGTCTGAATCTTAATTATTCAGATCTTAATCATTAAGTGTGTTTGTTTTTTTTACTTTACAACCACTTCATGTGTCTGAATAGGTCTGTATGATTAAGATCTATAACAGAGACTTAATTTCATTAAGATGCTATCATATATTCATTATTAACTGCCGCCACCGCCTACCATTATCAACTACCACAATGCCACCACCACCACTATACTCAACCACCACCTCCACCTCCGCCACCACCACGCCACCATCATCTTTAATCATAGCCTCTATTATCGACCATCACCACCTACTATTCCCACCACTCCGAACACCATCATTCTCATCACAATCAACACTCATCCGTCTCAACTACCACAACTAAGCACCCCCATCACCATCAACAATCACAACCGATACTGCCCATCAATTAACCTACCACCACCCACCCACCACCTTCCTCAATCATAACTACTACCACTACCCGACATTATTAACTATCACCACCCACCACCACCATCCTCAATCATAATTGCCACCACTACCAATTACTACTAGTTACTAGCATGAACCACCATCATCAACCAAAACTACCACCAACCACCGCCTCTAGTCGGCATTCACCCGTTAGCCATCACCACCAACAACTATCATATTTTAAAAAACTATATATTTTATTGATAGAAGATTAGATTAGTTAGTAGTTTATTTGAATTTTATGTTTATTAATTTTCATATAAAGATAAATTTTATACATTCAGATGTTAAAAATCAAACAGTCTTAATTATTTCTATTCAGATCTTAATACACATCTTAATATATTCAGATGTGTATTCAGATTCAGGTGTCTTAATCTTAATACACATCTTGATATTCAGATGTGTATTCAGATTCAGACGTCTTAATCTTAAAAAAAACAAATGAGGCCTTAGTCTCTTTTAGGAAGGCTTAAGTTGGAAAAGTCAATCGGATGTTGACTTATATGTTAGAGGGCTCGGATGTGAGTTCCAATGGTTCGGTTAGCTTCGGGAGGTGATTTATGACTTAGGAGTGTGATCGTAATGGATTTTGGAGGTCCGGAGTAGATTTAGGCTTGAATTGGCAAAGTTGATATTTTGGCGATTTTCGGTGGGTAAGCGAGATTTTGATATAGGGGTCGGAATGGAATTCCGAGAGTTATAGTAGCTTCGTTATGTGATTTGGGATGTGTGTGCAAAATTTCAGGTTATTCGGACGTGGTTTGGTTGGGTTTTTGATCAAAAGTGTATTTCGGAAGATTTTAGAAACTTAGGCTTGAATCCGATGTGTTTTGGGTGATTTGATGTTGTTTGAGGTGTTTTGATGATTGGAACAAGTTTGAATAAGGTTTTAGGATGTGTTGGTGCCTTTGGTTGAGGTCCCGAGGGCCTCGGGTGAGTTTCGGGTGAACGACCACCAGTACTACCAACTGCGGCCACCAGAGGCCGAGGACGCGGTCGTGGTCGTGGTAGAGGCAGGGCAGCGGGGGCAGCACCTGCAGATCCACCAACTGCCCCAATTCAGGACCAGGTCCCAGCTGTGGACCCTCCAGCAGTACCAGCTCAGGCACCAGTTGTGCCTATTGTGATTCCGGGTCTTCAGGAGGCCTTGGATCAGATCTTATCAGTTTGCACTGGCCTAGCTCAGGGGGTTTCAGCCACTACAGCCGCAGCTACTTCACAGGCCGGGAGAGGCAGTCAAACTCCCGCCGCCCGCACACCTGAGCAGGTCGTGCAGGGACTTCAGATGCCGGGGGCACATCCAGCCCAGCCGGTCGCAGCTGCTCAGGACTATGTAGTTCCTGTCATGCCAGAGGATGAGCAGCGTAGGTTGGAGAGATTTGGGAGACTTCAGCCTCCGACCTTCAGCGGAGCAGAGGGCGAGGATGCTCAGGGCTTTTTAGACAAGTGTCGGAGAATGCTTCGCACAGACGGTATTCTGGAGACCAGCGGGGTCGCTTTCGCTACTTATCAGTTTTCAGGACCTGCTTTTACTTGGTGGGAGGATTTTGAGAGGCGTAGGCCTGTTGGTGCAGCACCCCTATCCTGGCAGCAGTTCTCCGTTCTCTTTCTGGAGAAGTATGTGCTGCAGTCTCGCAGAGAGGAGCTGCTTAGACAGTTTGAGTGGTTGCGTCAG